TTATCAGTCAGTCAGTCAGGGCAAGTAGTTTTTATGTATAGATGAACTTACTTCAGGTTTTTGCAACTTCGGGCCAGTTCCAGTGCCTCCCTAGAACTCCGGATGTTGGTAAGTGTCGCTTTACGTAGTTTTTCATCGAAGCGTATAGTAGCAGCAACATGGAATATGATATTTACCTGAACATAAAGTCAGAAAAATAATAAATCATCATCAGCATCATGGCTTTCATCGTTCACTGCCGGATATTGACCCGGCTTAATAGATACTATAGAGCTAGATATAGAGCTGGATTTTCGGTGTGGTGACGGATTAAGAACACAGAGTGTCACCACCCCTATTCATCCCGTGGGTGTTGTAAAAGGCGACTATGGGAGCAAACTACGCAGGACAACAGCACTGCAGATAGAAGGAAAACTTGACACAAACCCTATACCAACCCGTCAGGCCAGCGTGGTGTAGTAGGCCAAAACCTCCTTTCTAAGGAGAGGCCTATGTCCAGCAGTGGACTAGTAAAGGCTGCTGATAATGATGATGATAGAGCTGGGTCGTCAACTCTCCCCGTACAGTTTTTCCTCACCACTTTGCACAGATCGACTCCCTACCTAGACGGAGTTTAAACTACACTATACCATACATTTTTTTTAGTAAAGACAACTACCGCTTTAGGAATATACATCCTGTGCCCGGGGAGACTTTAAAAACATACATGAAATTGACACAAAGAACACCCAGACTCAGAACACCAATTTGTGGATCACACAAAGTGTTGTCCCATATGGGGATCGAACCCACAACAAGCGGCGTGGCGACCGCTTAAACTACTACGCCATCCGTGCACTCAAAAAGTTTTGGTTATGATATAGAGGCTAACGACCAGAGAGTTGCAAATGCGTTGCCCACCTTCGAACGCCTACCTCGAAATGGACTCCCGTCGAGGTAGCTCATTTGCGCCGAAGCATGGCTCTCCCACGGTTAGAGCAACATTTCCCTATTTTCTATTGCTAGAATATAATGTTTTTTTCCTTTATGTTTAAAGAGTAATATATACTCCTGAGTTGCAGACGTTGGCGGCGAAAGTCACTTTCGATCAGGTGACCCGTCTGCTCGTCTGCCCCCTCTACATAAAAAAATAAATAAAAATACTATTCTATGACCAATATACTCGGATATATTCTCCTTACCTCGTCTGTGAGCATACTCCAGTCTTTTTCGCTAAGCCCCAGTCTGATTTCATTAATATTTCCTTCAACTGGGATAATTTTGTCAGCAAACTCCGGCTTTTTCGTTCGTAATAGATCGTACACCTGGAATTGGTAATAATTATTTTTATATAGAAATATATTACACCAACATAGCAATTAGGTATTAAAGAAAAATCTAGGTTATACCAGGCTATATATAGTTCCCATTGAGATCCACATCTATAAGCCGTAGATGGCCTGCGGTCCGTTGGGGTACCAAGGATTTCCTTTGTACCCCAACGGATAGACAGACAGAGATTGCAAAACATAAACATAGAGCAAATAAACAGTGTGTGCTAATGGGCAAACACTGTTTAGACGGGGTGGGTGGAGCAGAGGCATGACTTCGTGACGAACATCATCACCATGGATTCTCTCGGCACCATAATTGGTTTCATGGTACTGAGGGAGAGCGCGTTGATCTCCGAGACCTCTTTCTGCGAGCCAGTTATGCTCACGAAGAAGAAGGTGGAGTGAACCGGGGGAGGGGAGTTGTTTCGAACTCGCAGGTAGGCGGTTTAGGCGAGTAGGCCGTGGAAACACTCAAAATCACCAGAAAGTTACTAAATATGAACTAACATTACAAGCCTACACTATACTCACATTTACATACTTACAAAAAATATACCATACAATTTAAGTTTAATGAAAAAATAAAAAAATTGAAAACAAATGAAATACGAGTAGTACAATACAATAAATGTACATCACTTTCAAACATGACAACAATGATAAGAAATGATAGTAACTGCGGGAGTGAGCAGCATCAATCCCAAGCAAATTAGTCATCTAAATAATGTGTAACAGTGCGGTAAGCCTTTTCACATAGTTTTTTTTTTACTAAAGACTTCAATTTGTTGATACGTCATGAAATTTGCTTGGAATTTTATTGTACAATCGCGCACCCTGACACCGAAAGACTTGCTCAATAAATTAACCAAGCTCAATCTCCGTCAATAGGCAGCTAATACTGGAATCGTTTTTTTTAACTTGCTTTGTTTACTCAATAACAAATCTTTCGACATTCTTTTTTAAGGTTTAAGGTACCTCAAAAGCCAGGTCTACAGGACTTTCTTTCTAGGGCATAGCTGGTTCCCCGGTTATTAGTACCCGAGACGGCGTGCGGTTTTAGTCGGTTCGAGTCCTACATGCCACCGATAGGTGGTATCCGAGGGGATTTCCGCACGGAAAAAAAAGGTCTACAGTCCCTTGAAGACGTAAAAAAATCAAAGTTGACATGAAAAATATTGCTGAACTATTTATAATATGTATACCTGATTGATTTTTAAAGCAACAACCTGGCAAGAAACTTATCACGCAGCGCAACTTGGATTCAACAGAATTACACAATGGCTAACAAATAATAGACTTACCTTGAATGTCAATAAAACAAACATAATGACATTAAAAATTAAAAATTCCTTAACAAGTAACCCCCACCATAAAATTACTGTCCACACTCACGGAGTTTGTAGTGATGTTTGCAACTGCCCTACTCTCAATCAGACATCCGTTGCTCGCTACTTGGGTGTTATACTCGACCACCACTTATCGTTTCATCAACACATTGACAGTTTATGTGGTAGAGTACGTAAGTTAATGTATGTTTTCAAGCATTTAAGACATGTTGCCGATCCTAACGTTATAAAGATGGTCTACTACGCGCTTTGCCAGTCTTTACTGGGATACTGCATTTCTGCTTGGGGAGGAGCATCAAAAAGCCATTTAATTCACCTCGAAAGAGCCCAAAGAGCAGTGCTCAAAGTCTGCACTTTCAAACCTTATCGTTTTCCATCTAAAAAATTGTACGAGTTTTGTGAAGTGCTGACAGTGCGCCAAATTTTCCTTCTGCAAATAATTTTAAAGCAACACATCTCTAAGAACAAAATTGAAAGACCACTATTAAGTGTACTTACTCAGGCGCGTAGAAGTCGTAAACATAAGATCCCATTAACCTACACTTGCACAACATCTTTCGGTCATAAGTTCTATTTCTTCTTGGGACGTTACTTATACAATAAGATAAACAACCTTCTTGTTTTTCATAATAAAACCAAATTTGAAACCAAAAAGATACTTACAAGTTATCTCCTGACCCTCACATATGAGGACACAGAGGCTATTCTACACCCTCAGATATGATCATGCACCCCCCCCCCCCCCCCCCACACACAGACATACACACACATTCTCACATACATCACAAATGCATTATTACATTTATATAAATTGATATGTAACTATGCATGTAACTTTGGTATTAATAAGTAAGACAACATACTGTGTAAATTAATTTACAACTTGTACAGGGCAATTTTAATTAAATTATGTATTTCTGCATTTAATAACTCAGTGTCACTGGAAGGTAGCTGGTACCTATATCTCAGGTTTTACCTTTTTAGGTACCAGCCGCATATTCTATATGTAATTGTTATAGCTAAAAAAATGAGCGCCCATTTTATCACTATTTTCTGTACAATTTACCTTGAATAAATTGAATAAATAAAAAAAAATAAAAAAAAAATAAAAAAAATAGACAGATATTTATAGATTGTGCAATCACGAAAATTGTTATGAAATAAATGTTGGTAACTAGGTGGCATATTAAATTTGTTTCTTACATGAGGAAATAGAATACACACCTTTTTTTTTTTTTTACTTTACTAAAACGGTTTTAGTAGTACTAATAGTAGTAAAAACTAGAGGGGAATTTAGGACTAATAGAAAGGGAGTCCCTGGTGCCCCGACATATAATATGTATACCTACAAATTTGTACGAAACACTCGGTGGGTGAGTCCGACTTGCACTTGTCCTGATTTTTTACTTTTTCGGCCTTATCCCATCTCTGTCAAGGTCGGCTGTCCTAATCACTACTTCACAGATATATTTTTAGGTTTTCATCGAATTGATAGCATATATATACATATATATATACATATACGCCGTCCATGGCAAAACATGTGGATACACACAAACTAACCAATTGAACTGTTTAGGATTCATTTCCTGTAAACTACAAATAAATAAAAAAGCAAATAAATAAATTAATATTATTATTATTATTATATATTTTAAGAAATCCGTTTGGTGTCGTGGGCCGTGTCCGATAGGAACGAAGTTACGACCTAACTCTAGTTGTTTAAAACAGCTATTTCTTTTATGAAAAAATGAAAAACTAGATAAATATTGAATGTCTTGTGAAATCCCTCTTGCCACATCGTCCTACCAGAAACTTCGTTCCAATAACACAAGATCGAATAGCAAAATCAAGATATCGTTTTGATCATAAACCTGCCAGTGACGAGTGACTGATGAATTCACCAAATTTATTATTTCTACAACTTGAAAAGTTTACTTACTGGGTTTTGTAACATCTGATTGAGTCTTTCTTGAATAGTCATCGATTTTTTCGGACGAATAAGCAGGTACAGTTTTTCTATGGCGCATGACCTGCAACAAATATGTACATACATATGTATGACGGAGGACCAATGTCTGGGTTGTTTTTAAATAAAGTGACGTCAGCAAATCTGACGTCATTCTTTGCATTGTCGTGGTTTTCCTTTATAAAAGCTGTAGTAAATAACAACAACAGTAAATACAATTAAAGATGCATTCCAAGGTCTTACCAACAGTCGTACATAGACCCGTACAGTAGTGAATAAAGACAACAGTAAATACAGTTAGAGTTGTAATTCAAAATGTTTAATTTTCCGTGACTTTGGGGCATAAATCAGGCTGAAATTGACATATAGACTATTAAATTATTCGCATAGACTTGTAAAACAGTAAAATCGAACGATCCCGGTGGTCACCTCCACGTGAGATGATCACACTCTTAAATCGCAAAATGTCCGATGTGGAATGAGCTACCAATATGTGACGTAACACCGTCTTGTTTGAACACACTATGATCCACACTGGTTCTTCTGCATATCAATGACATGTTACAAACTAGTAGCATCCATTGCTATACAGATGATAGCACGGGAGATGCCCTTTACACCGCCCGCCCCACTATTTTTGGGGAAAACGTCATCGAGAGTCGAAACAAACTTGTGTCTGAAATTGAAACTTCCTTAGCGGAGGTTTCAGTTTGGGGCCGACTAAACCTAGTCCAGTTCAACCCAAAAAAGACACAGGTCTATGCGTTCACCGCAAAGTAGATACCATTTGTCGTATCACCTCAGTTTGAAAACACCTCCTAACTGCCTCATCCAGCATCGGAATCCTAGGCATCGGCATATCAAGCGAAGTCCAGTTTAGGGGTCACTTAGAAGGTAAGGTCAAATAGGCCCCGAAGAAGCTCGGTGTGCTAAACAGATCGAGGCAGTATTTCTTCTTTTTTTCTTCTTATACTGTTCTCATCTCTATGCAGTGGTACTTCAGTACCAGCTTCTCCCTCTGGACCGCATCCAATAAAGAGCGACTCGAATCGTCGATAGTCCAAACATCTCCGATCGGCTCGATCCCTTGGCGTTACGTAGAGATGTGACTTCACCCTGCATTCTCTATCGCATATATTATGGAGAGTGTTCCGAGGAATTGTTCGGACTAATACCAGCCGCAACTTTCCGCCATCGTTCCGCACCGCAAAATTTTCATCCTCATCACCTGGATAGTTGGCGCTCCACTACTGTACGCTTTTCGAGATACTTGTTGCCCCGTACAACCAATCTGTGGAACGGGTTATCGTTTGCGGGATTTGAGGACCGATACCACCTTCAAACCTTCAAGAAATGAGTGTACTTCTACCTAAATGGCCGGCAACGCGTTTGTGACTCCTTAGTTGCAGACGTTATGGGCAGGGATGGTCACTTTCCATCAGGTGACCCGTCTGCTCGTCTGCCCCCTCTAACATAAAAAAAAAACTTGAAGTTTAGACTGATAACATCTCTAAAAGGGCATACCTGAACAGTTTCTCAATTAGTTGTTTTCCAATGAAGCCGGACCCACCAGTTACGAATACCGTAGCGCCTTCGTAAAACAGCTGCACAGGTGAATCGCCAATATCTATTACGTCGTTCATTGGTTTCTGACGAGCCAGGGCAGATAATTCAATTTCTTGTGCAGGATCCATTTTGTTGTCTTTCACGTAGCGCTGTAAACCACCGACTGAGAGCTTCCAATACCAGTTTATGTTATTAAACTTGGGTAACTTATTACAATCAAATTGAATATGCACATATTTTGAAAATCCTGCATTTGTAATGAGGTGTAAATTGACTAAGCAATCTTCTCAAAAATATTTGAAAAATATATGTATAATGAATTAGTTAAATATTTCGAAAGCCATAACATTTTAGCTAAGGAGCAAAAGGGTTTTCGACTGAACAAAAGTATCGATCTTGCTATATATGAACCTCTAGAAATTATAACGTCCAACGTCGATAAGCGAATACCGATCTGCGCCATCTTTATGGATATGACGCATGCTTTTGATTACGTGGTGCATGACATCTTATTAAATAAGCTTGAGACATATGGCATGAGAGGCAACATTTTAAAATTAATTGCATATTACCTCAGGAACCGCTCTCAATATACAGAAATTAACAGAATTAATATTATAACTAAGATGGGGGATACATACCTATCAAAAGGACGTAAAATACAATATACATTTAATACTTTTTATAATATACATTAATGACCTTCCAAATGTGAATTCAAACCCAATGACAATTAGGTGCAATGACAGAACATCGTATGAGCATGATATACATAAATAACCCTTAATGCAATCATCAAATGGCTGGACGTTAAAAATCTAAAAGTAAACATAGGAAAGACTAAAATTATCCATTTCAATCAGCGTGTGAATGAAATTATGCCTCAGATTAATTATAGGGGTGAACCTATTTCTGAAGTGCAAACCAAAAAATTTCTTGGCCTGACTTTGGATAATAAATTGAAATGGAAACCACAGATTAAAGAACTGTACGAAAAAATAATAAATCAGTTTACGCGCTACATGAATTAAAACAAATTTCAAATGTTAGTACCTTGTTAACTGCATATCATGGTCTGGTTGCTTCAGTCCTGAGGTATGGTGTGGTTTTTTGGGGAAATTCGACAGACATTGATTTAATTTTTAAGGCACAAAAACGGTGCATAAGGGCTATGTTTCGCTTCAAATAATCGAAACCTGTAAGCCGTTCTTCAAGGAGTACAAAATTCTAACTCTCCCAAGCCTGTATATTTATGAGGTCTCAATATTTGTTAAGAAAAATCAAAAGTTATTTAAATTAGCCTCAGAAGTCTATATTAGGCGACAACGTGACCAACGTGACACAAAGAACACCCAGACTCAGAACAACAATTTGTGGATCACGCAAAGTGTCGTCCCATGTGGGGTTTGAACCCACAACACTCGGCGTAGTAGGAAGCGGCGTGGCGACCGCTTAATCCACTACGCCATCCGTGCAGTCAATACTACTTTATTTAAGAAATATTTAAAGACCCTTTTAGTTAATAAGTGTTATTATAAGTTGAATGACTATCTGAACGATGATCTTTCCAATCTTGAGACCTTTTGTGTGTCTTTTGAATGTAATTAATTTGTTAATATATAATAATTCAGGGAGTGACATAGAACTAATTTAATTATTATTAAATAAATAATTAATATTTATCATTATAATTTTAATAAGGACTTTTTAATATTTAAATACTGTAATCGAATTTGATTTAAATATTTCGATGTCGATCTTGATTTTAGTAAGTAATAATTGTATATATTTTGCATGCCTTAGGGCCTTCACTTGAAGCCTCACGGTAGGAGGCACTCGCATCGGCATCGAGCCCTCGATCAGGTATCTGGGGCTCGTACTCGATGGCCGATGGGACTTCGGATATCCTTTACGAGGTCTGGTCCCCAAGTTGGTTGGGGCAGCGCGTGCGTTGGCGCGGCTGCTGCCCAACATGAAGGGACCCGATGACTCCTGCACGAGACTCTACTCGGGGGTTGTGCGGTCCATGGCCCTTTACGGGTGCCCAGTATGGGCGGGGGCCCTGAAGGCCATCAACGTCGCGATACTGCGACGACCGCAGCGAGTGCTGGCCATCAGGATCATAAAGGGGTACCGCACGATCTCCTTTGAGGCGGCGAGTCTCCTGGCCGGAACTCCACCGTGGGACCTGGAGGCGAGAGCCCTTGCGGCTCCGTATCAGTGGCGCAAGGAGGCGCGGGAGTTGGGTCATTGTCGTGAGATTCGAGAAATCGATGACCGGAAATCCCAGCTCCGCCAGGTCGTCATAGGGGAGTGGAGGGAACGACTCGGGCAACCGAGCGCCGGGCACGAGAGGCGTCACGGGACCCTCTCATACCGACTGACGCAGGTGATAACTGGGAAAGGATGTTTCGGGGAGTCAACGCCTGAGTGCCACCACTGCGATGGTCAGACCGTAAACACGGCTCTCCACACGCTGACAGAGTGCCCGGCGTGTTCTTCCGTTCTTCCGCGAAGTTTTAGAAAACCAAAATGTTTTGTCAAATATTTAGCAAACATCCAGTGAGTTGGAAATGAATTCGGCTAGTTTCAGTGAATCTGAACTGTACA